TAGATTAATTTGCATTTCCTCGAGTTTTACATAAATGGAATCATACAATATATACTCTTATAGTCTGGTTTCTATCATTCAACATAATGCCTTTGAGAGTCACTCACTTGGTTTATCAATAGTTCATTCCGTTTTTTTGCTGAGTAGTATTCCCAGGGATAGATTACCCAATAAGCAAGGTCTGTGCGAGTTTGCTGGTGCTTACTTACTCATCTGTAGTTCACAATTTCACCTTGCTTACTGTAAGCTCATGTGTACCTTGCTTACTAGTTAATCCGCCCCTGAGTATGGCATTGTATGGCGATACCACTAGACCTTACTTTGAAAGCCAGGAATGAAGGACCCTGAGAAAGGATGAATCTGATCAACGCCAAGACCTTCACAAACTCCAGAACGGGAAAGGGGGAGTGCTGTATTTCCCCAAAGCACAAATGCAATTTTCACTGTGCAAGAATGTGACTGCCATCACCACATAACTGACCAAATAAAATGGTGCTTGTCTCTGTCCCCAGATCTAATCAGGTCCCCATCACTTAGGGAACTGAGGCAGCATATCTACGTATTAATATGGGAAAAAGGGAGGTCTCTGAGAAATGATTTGGCTGTGGGCCTTTTCTGCACTAAATCCTTAAAGAGGTTTGCAATTAAGGAAGGAAGTGCCCCACACTCTTTATAAGTGTAAAATGTCTTTTAGTTGTACCAGGTTGGATCAAAAAAGACAGGGGATTTTAAAAAAATGTTTTGCAACTGTAAAGCATAAATCAAAGGCAAGATTTGTTTTTTCAATCAGAAACCATCACAAAGTTTATTTTGTGCCCAGATTAAAATTTAGCATGTGAGATCGCTGATCCAGGAAAAACAAAACAACAACAGGAGAAAGGATGGAGGCAGGAGTAGAGAACATCAGTGAAACAGTTCAAATAACATTATATCATAATCAGCAACTGCATCTACCTTTGGTGGAGGAGACAAAGTCCTTTGGGCCCAGGATGAATCCCACTGAACTAGTTCTGTGACTCCAACCTCCAGCATCACTCCATCCCATGCCTAAATGGACAATGGAAGCTTTCTTTTCAGCTACAACTACTCAGCTATTTTGTATCATGCTTCTACCCTGTCCAGAATTCTAGGGTGTCCCCAATCTAGTTGGACCCCAGGGACAATAGTCTAAAGAATTCTGAGACTTTGAGACTAAACTCTTAGTGGTCACTGCAGCTCCACCCTCCAGTACTACCTTTAGACCCTTGCCACTCAAAGTGTGGCTGCAGACCGGTGGTGTCAGCATCACTTGGAAATTTGCTAGAAATGAAAATGTTTGACACCCCCAACCCCAGACTGGATGGAATCTGCATGTGAGCCAGATCCCCAGGTGATTTGCACGTACATTAAAGTGTGGGAAGTTCTGGTGGTTCTTTAGCCTTGGGGTGCATCAGACTCCCTGGGAGAGTGTGCTGCTGCTGCTGCTCCTGGACAGGGGGCCACAGTCTGAAAACCACTACTGTGGTGACCAGAGACACCATTACACCATTTACGGAGAAGGACAGAGAATTCCTATACCTTCCAAACTAGCCCAAGATGAGAATCTAGGAAAGCGAACACTCCTCAGGGATGGGGCCATGACCCTTTCCCTTGGGTTGTTTTAATGTTGCCTCCTGTTTAAACAGAGCCGTGGACAAGAGGTTCTAGGGCCTCTGTACCAAAGCCAGAGTCAACTCATGGCAGAGGCTCCATCCGGGAATGTATTTTCCCCACCCTTAAAACTAATAGAGCCTGAGGTGCTACAGCTGAGAGGTATGGCACCAGGAAGTCCCTATCAGAGAACAGGCTGGGACAGGTTGGTGACCCTCTCCTGCCCCCTCAGTGGAGAGTTCTTTACAGAGATCCTTCAAGTAGGAGCTGTTAGTTTTCTAGTCCTCCTGGCAAATGCTCAGAGCTCTTAAATCCCCATGAGCCAATGCTGCGGTACTTACTCACAGTGCCGTATACCCCAAGGGCCAAGCACAGCTCCTCATCTGCTCACAGTCCACATACTGTTGGATCCTCCTGCCTTCCTGGCACAAAGATACACTTAGATGCCCAGAAAAGAGACCCCACAGGAAAAAAATTACTCTCAAATAGTAACATTTAACCAAAAAAACACAAAGAGCATTCTGAAGAATAGAGATGAGTTTTGACTAGTATGAGGTTAGTCTACTCTACCTTAAGCTTCCACTGGATGGGAGAACGCAAGCTTCATTTCACCAAGATTACAACTAACCAAAATATAAATTTACATCACAGATAGCTACAAATAAAAATAATAGCTGTTGTGGGGAATGCTTATTATATGCCAGGGTCTATGCTACATGTTTACAAGGATTAATTATTTCAGCCCTAGCTCTGAGATAAATATCACTGTTATCCTCATTGTAGAGATGTGGAAACTGAGAAAGAACATCATTACATATTTTGCCCAAAGTCACAAAGGTACTTAGGCGCCCAGACCTGAGCTCTCCTCTGTAGGCCACCTGTGGCAGGTTACAGGACGGCAGATTAGAATGGTGGTGGGAGCTGACCACCATTATTATACACAACAGTGATTTCTTTTAAAAACTATTTTTTTAAGCACTGAAACTCTTTCTGTTTTGTTTTGTTTTTTGAGGAGTGGGGGCAGGAGACAAAAATCTTACCAAGAACCCTACTTTAGAAAACAGCTCAAAGCATCACTCTTCCGGTTGGAGCCAGGCAGAGGCTCCGGAATCCCCACTCCCACAGCACCCCTCCTCAACCACGCCCGGCTCCCACGCAGTATTTACTCATAGGAAGTGATTCCACCCCCGTGGTCTCTGGCCTCAACATTTCCAAGTCCCAAGTCCGCTCCCTACCGTCTGTCTACCTGGGGTAACTGACAAGATTCTCCCCAGTTCCAGTCATGGAGAACAGGGGCAAAACATGGATGTGTCCTGGAGGGGAATGGTCCTGAGGGCACATGGCCTTTGAGAGATGGGTGAAATACTTCAAGTGTGATGAACTTGATTGAGTACCTAAAATTACAGTTAGTAGTTAAAGGAGCCTGAGGAGGAGTATTTAGAAATACAGTATTTAGTAATACAGAATTCAGGTGGCACATTGAGTCTGAACTCCTGCTGTCTAGCTATGTAAAGGTCCACTCCAGCTTGTAATTGTGTGCAGGTGTGATCATGTGCACTAAGCATTAATGAATTGACATTAATCGTATCTAAGGCTTTAATGGATTGGGTATGTTTTTTGGGAGTGAGCACAGTGCTAACCCAAGCGGTTAGTTCATAGAGATCCCACACCACCACTGTGCTCCAAGGAGCTGCTAAACACTTCATCGATTGAGGCTTGGGTTGTTCTGTGCCAAAGCACTCCGAGCCCTCTTACAAGGAGGGACCTCAGTTAGATCTGCCCAGGGGCCAAAGTCACCACTTGCCACTCTCTCTATGCCATCCAGAAAGCCTACAGCTGACATTCTGAATCACCAAGCTGGCTGGGCCACTCAGGGTTGGTCCTGAGGAGAAAACAGTACAGCCAGACTCTTCCACCCCCGGGCACTGACCCTCTGGAGAGGCAGGAATTCAAGAGGCCATGTCTGTCCCTTTTATGTGGTCAATTAAATCAATGACTGGCTTAACCCATTCGGCAGGGGGTGAGTTTTTCTCTTTTTGGGTAGTGATCTGTCCCTTTATGGACATAACTGTTGAGATATCTTTGTCAAAGAATAGTCCCTGGCTACTGTGGGGGAGGAGAAGTAGATTTCAAGCCAGGTCACCTGGGTTTTCATTCTCATCTTTCACTTAAAGACCATGAAATTGATCTATTTTCCTCATTCTCTCTTTTTCTTTCCTTTTTTTTACTTTTAGTCATTTGATGTAGGTATAGATGTAATTTTTAAATTATAAAACAAATACATGTTAAGTGTGGAAATTTTATAACATACAGAAAAATATAAAGCAGCAAAACAAAGTGTATCCATTGCCCCCTCCTCCCCATCAGCCAGAGGCAATCACTTTAAATGTTGCGGCAGATTTTCTTCCAGTCTTTTTCCCTCTGCAATTTTTTTTTTTTTTACATAATTTTACATAGTTAAATTCATAAAGTACGTTCAATTTTGTGTCTTGTTTTTCTTTTACTTAACTGTATCATAAGCATTTTCCCGAGTATTAATTATTTTTCAAAAGCAACAAGTAATTTTGAGTGAGTTAAGTAAATTTACCTATGCCTCAGTTTCTTCTAGGGCTTCGAACTGGTTCATTTCGGTTCAAACCCCTGCTGAGAATTTGCATGTCTAACAAGTTCCCAGGAGGTTATACGTAAGAATCACCTAGGGATCTTGTTAAAATGTAGATTCTGATTCAGTATATCTGGGGTGAAAATGCAAATTCTTAGCAGGGAACTTGTTAGACATGCAAATTCTCAGCAGGGGGTTGAACCCGAATGAACTGGTTTGAAGCCCTGGTTTCTTCATGTGTCCAATAAGGCAGTGGTTTTCCAACCTGAACATGTATGAGAGTCACCTGGAAGGCTTGTTTAAATACAGATTGCAGGGCCTCATCCCCAGAGCCTCTGATTCAGTAGGTCTGGAGTAGGGCCTGAGAATTTGCATTTCCAACAAGTTCCCTTGATGATGCTGCTAGTCAGGAGACCACATTAAACCAGTGAAAGGAGGAAACTAAGTCGTGGAATTTCCAAATTCATTGCCAATTTCAGATTCTAAGCTTCTGAATATTTTTCAAATTCCTAAAAACAAAACAAAACAAAACACCCAGCAAACTCTTAAAAAAATATGAGTTTTTTAAACTTTAGTAAGTCTCTGTGATTTTTTCAAATACAAAAGGAACATCATCTACCATTTACAAGTAATTGTTTCCATTTGTAACTCTTATGTGTTCTATACTTATTCCTCTTTGAAGTTACCTGGATTTTTAAAAGTGACTCTTTAAAGGATAATCAGGCTTACATCTGATATTTTATTGGGTTTTTTTTTTTCCCTTATATAGTTCCATATGTATTGAAGAGTTGTGCAGAATTTATAGAGACTCACGGCATTGTGGATGGAATCTATCGGCTTTCGGGGGTCACCTCAAACATACAGCGGCTAAGGTAAGCTGAGAGGATAGCCCTGAAAGAATTCACTTATGATCCTTTGGCCCATTCCTCTGTCCTTAGGTGCTGGGAATATTAAAAGCCTGAAGGAACTGAGGGAAGGGTGGCAGGGTAGAAGATCAGATACTAATTTTTTCAAATGCCTGACTGTTCTTAATCTAAGCAGGAAGTTCTGCAGTCTGATGCCATTCTTGCCAACAAAAGTTCCTGAGGGCTTTTAATCTGTTTCTTTGTCCTGCGCCAGATTTATCCTTCTTAGGTGAATTTGATCTAACTCAAATGATTTAAATTACAAGTTAGGAAAATGTGATTTTATTTGTCATTCACCTGCCTACCCAAAGCTCAGTTAGATTAGGTTCCCGTTACAGAGTGTTCAGAACTGGGACATCTATGTGGGTTTTTTCAGTGGGCACACACTTAACAACTGATGTTCCGTCTGGTTGAGACATCAGAAGTCCACATGTAATGCATTTCCCTAATTGAAGCTGGTATTTTAAAAATTATTGATAGATGAACTATTTTTAATTCTATGGATTTATCCTAAACATTTGAAAGAAATTTGTATCTCATTGAATTAAGAAGGCAATAAACCATGAAAACACCACAGATAATTGTGTGTGTACATTTATATATAAATATATATACATAGTGTGTATATATATGTGTGTGTATACTTTCTCTGACAAAAACAGTAAGTTTATGTATTTTAAATATTATCCTTTAACACCAAAAAGAACATACTTTATTAAGTCCTACTTTTTTAACAAGTCCTACTTTTATATATGGAAACCCTGGTGCCATAGTGGTTAAGAGCTGCGGCTGCCAATCTAAAAGGTCAGTAGTTCGAATCCACCAGGTGCTCCTTGGAAACTCTGTGGGGCAGTTCTCCTCTGTCCTATAGGGTCTCTATGAGTTGGAATCGACTAGACGGCAATGGGTTTTACTTTTACATACTTACTATATTTCTTTAGTTATGAATGCGGACTTTTAAAACAATAAAAATATTCTTTTTACAAGGCTAATATGTAGAGTTTAATAGATAGTGCAGGTAATTCTGTTTTTGCCTTCCTGCTATTTGGTTTTCTGCCCCTCCGCCCAATATCTTAATTGTAATTAAATTATACTATAGGGATAAAACATCCTTTTCACTACTGGAGAAGTGGTGATTGTTTAAAAAAGAAAAAAAGATTCCTTGCTGCCTTAGACTTTAATGAATCTGTGTGTTTAAGTAATTTCCTCTAATTTACTAGTGTGACTTTTTTAGAGTTTCAATAGTAAATAGTTTTTAGTGATTTACTCTTAGTTCTAAAATATATGGCACAGTAGTTGGTATCATGGAAGGCCACTTGGGTGATGGCTAGTTCCTTTTTCTTCAAGGACTGAGCTGAGCTTTGACAAGGGCAAATTTTGTCTAACAAAATGAATAAGCTCCAGGTTATTCTTGTTCTGACCTCTTTAAAAACAAATAAACAAAAAGCACATGCCTGTGAATTTATCGGGTCATTGAATGGTTCTCTTTTCAAGGCCCCATTCAGTGTGTTTCAGGTTCTGACAACATGAGGGATTTCCCTACCCTTTATTAAAACAAAAAAACCAAACCCGTTGCTGTGGAGTTGATTCCAACTCATAGTGACCCTATAGCAGAGTAGAACTGCCCCGTAGGGTTTCCAAGGCTGTTAATCTTTACAGAAGCAGACTGCCACATCTTTCTCCAGAGGAGTGGGTGATGGGTTCGAACCACCGACCTTTTGCTTAGGAACTGAGCGCTTAACCTGCTGTACAACCAGGGCTCCTTTACCCTTTATTAAAGGGGCAGAAATAGACAACAGGAGGATGGGCAGTGAGCTCTTTCGAAAATGCTGCCTCTGAGAGTCCCATTGACTTTGTCACAACTTGGCTGACCGAGTGAGTACTCTTCAGAAGTTGAACTTCTCTTCTATGGTAAACTCAGATACGTCATTTCTTAAACAGATTTGTAACTTGTAAGTATATATATTGGAGTCCCTGGGTGGTGCAGTGAACATGCTGGCCTGCTACCTGAAAAGCTGCAGGTTTGAGTCCACCCAGAGGTACCTCAGAAGAAAGGCTTGTTGATCTAATTTTGAAAAATCTGCCACTGAAAACCCTAAGGAGCACAGTTCTACTCTGACGCACATGGGGTCGCCATAAATCGAAATCGACTCAACAGCATGGTTAACTACATTTTGAGGCTGTGTATTCATGGAACCTTGTGAGGAAATGTTTTCTGATGAGGTAGGTTACACCAGGCCTGGAATCTGATGATGTTCCCAGGTACTCCACTATAGATTGTTTAGGAAGATATCTGTAAGCTGTATCTATCTTGTGGGAGTAACTATCAGGCAGCCTACTTCTAGGCTTCCATTCAGCATCATTCAGCCTTCGTTCCATTCAGCATCAAAGCACTATTTGGGTTTGAGTCTCCACATAAAACATGACTTATACCGAGATGAACGATAACAGCCAGACCCACCCTGGTCTTGATCTCTTTTCTAAGAAAGGGAAGTTCATTTGGAACAATATTTTGGAATAATTGAAATCTCCATAGGCTTGTTTGGCAAATGGTTCTCATATTTCCCCGCTGTTCATAACTGAGAATTAAAGCCGTGGGAAATTCATTTGTAAATGAGCATTGTGTCTTTCCAATCATTGTGGCATTTTCAGGGAAGGTCCAGACCTGAAGTGGAAGTCTCTCCATAGCGTCCTTGGACCTGGAGTAGAAGGTCATTTTGAATCAAGGTCAAAATATAGTCAGATCAGCAGTTTAGGGTCTTTTTACCCCTGAGCAGATGAGCAGCTACGGACATGGAACACATGTTCCCTGGGATTGTTATGTCTCTGTCTATGTTGTTTCAGGCAGGAGTTTGGCTCAGATCAATGTCCAGATCTGACAAGGGAAGTGTACCTCCAGGACATCCACTGTGTGGGCTCACTCTGCAAGCTCTACTTCAGGGAGCTTCCCAACCCCCTCCTGACTTATGAGCTCTATGAGAAATTCACGGTGAGTGTTTGGATTTCCATTATAGTTACTGGGTGGGACCCATGGACGGGCCAAGGAGGGTTTCAGCACTAAAATAACAATAATAATACTCACCAGATGGTTGACGTTATCTTAGCACGGTGATGGGAGGAGGGTGGTATGGTGAGGACATTCGAGTAGTGGGATTGCTTACCAAATTTTTTCTTTCTTGAACTTTCAGAATCACTGTTTTAGGAGCTGGGTTAAAGTATCTCTGTGTTTATTTGACCAAAGGTGCCTCACTGTATAGAAAGGCAAGGCGGAACCAGAGAAGTGAAGTGACTGGCCCAAGGTCACACAGCAAAGGCAGGACAGGAACCTGAGATTCCAGATGCCCTGCCCACTGCTAGTTCATTTTTATCAGGCTGCTCTGTCTGGGTTTCTTTTAGAGGTTGGGGAAAGAGGTGAGTGGGTAGAGAAGGGAGAGGAAATAAGCAAAAGTCAAGAGAGAGGTCAGAAAGCTAGGAAGGGAAAAGAAAAGCAGCCGTGAGGAGGTGCAGCATAGGCCAGTGAGTTCGGCTGGTAGGTTAAGCAGGTAGGTTGGGTTGGTGGGGAGGATGGTGGGCAAGAGCAGAACACCCACCTAAACAGCAACTGTGTGATCAGCCAATTGGGCACTCGTAGGAAAATAGAAAGGAGAATAGTGTTCCTTTAAAAGTATTCCTTTAAACAATTAAAAGGCTGCTGTATAGATGGCATTAATAATAGGGTTTGACCATTCGGCTGCATGGGTGGAGGTACAGAGTAGGCAGAGAGGTGGGTTGTCTTAGTCATCAAGTGCTGCTATAACAGAAATACCACAAGTGGATGGCTTCAACAAAGAGACATTTATTCTCTCACAGTCTAGTAGGTTACAAGTCCAAATTCAGGGTGTCAGCTCCAGGGGAATGTGTTCTCTGTCAGCTCTGGAGGAAGGTCCTTGTCATCAGTCTTCCGTTGTTCTGGGAGCATCTCAGCACAGGAATCTCAGGTCCAAAGGACCCACTCTGCTCCTGGCACTGCTTTCTTGGTGGTATGAGGTCCCTCACTCTCTGCTTGCTTCCCTTTCCTTTTATCGCTTGTAAGATAAAAGGTGGTGCAGGCCACACCCTAGGGAAACTCCCTTTACATTGGATCAGGGATGTGACTTTGGTAAGGGTGTTACAATCCCACCCTAATCCTCTTTAACATAAAATTACAATCACAAAATGGAGGACAACCACACAATACTGAGAATCATGGCCCAGCCAAATTGATACACACATTTTTTGGGGGATATAATTCAATCCATGACATGGGTTTAACCAAGAGGGGTGAGGGAGATGAGAGTGTATGCAACGAGTGATTAAAATAATTGACCATGGAATTAGTCTGGATAAGAAAGGACATGTGTAACAGTGAAGAAGTAGATCAACAGATCATTCATCCCAGTAAGCTCAGTCAAGTGTTGAAGTAGGGTGGTCAGAGGGGGACGTTCAAAGTTGAATTACGGAGGGGTTGTACTTACTGGTAAGGACCTGGCTGAGACTCTCACCATGGGAGGGAATCTTCCCCATGACTCCTGTAATTAACTTATTTGAGCATATAAAATGTTCTTCAATTTGAAATGATACAGGAATAAATGAACAGTACTTTTTTAAAAAAAAATTAGGCTTGGGCTATTAAAAATATATTTCAGAGTTTTCAACGAAACAAGGAAACAGTAATAATGATAATTGGAAAAAAAAGATTATAATTGTATATTTAAAAAGTATGAAAAAGAAGGATGTTCCTGACACTAATAGTCATTAACTGCGATGCTGGGATTATAGACTTATTTTCCTGCTTCTTTATACTTTAACTTTTGAAGTTTTCTCCACTAAAAAACCTTAATTTTTTTTTAATTGTACTTTAGATGAAGGTTTACAGAACAAATAGTTTCTCATTAAATAGTCAGTACACATATTGTTTCATGACATTGGTTAACAACCCCACGACATGTCAACACTCTCCCTTGTCAACCTCGGAGGACCTCTTTTTTCTTTTTCAGTGAAAAGATACATAGCCAAAGTCACACCATTTCAAAAGTTTCCACATGTACAATTCAGTTTTCCAGTTGTGCTGCTATTCTCACTATCCTTTTCCAAATCATTCCATCACCATTATCTTCAACTCACTGTCCCCTAGGCTTCCCATCAAATCTTTTGAGTTGCTGTTGTCAATATGATCTCAATAGATAATCCTTTTTTTCTTTTTTTGTACTTTAGATGAAGGTTTACACAACAAATAGTTTCTCATTAAACAGTTAGTACACGTATTACCCTATGACAATGGTTAACAACCCCACGATATGTCAGCACTGTCCCTTCTCAGCCTTGGGTTCCCTCTCACCAGCTTTCCTGTCTTCTAGTCCTTGTCCCTGGACTGCTGTGCCTCATTAGTCCCATTTTGTTTTATGGGGCTGTCCAATACCCGGCTGAACGGTGAACCTCAGGAGGGACTTCACCACTGGGCTAAAAGGGTGTCCAGGGGCCATACTCGGGGTTTCTCCAGCCTCTGTCAGGCCAGTAAATCTGGTCTTTTTTTGTGTGTGTTAGAATTTTGTTCTACATCCTTCTCCAGCTCTGCCCAGGACCTTCTGTTGTGATCCTGGTCAGAGCAGTCAGTGGTGGTAGCTGGGCACTATCTAGCTGTACTGGACTCAGTCTGGTAGAGGCCTTGGTAGCTGTGGTTCATTAGTCCTTTGGACTAATCTTTTCCTTGTATCCTGTTCTCTTCCTTCTCCCTTGCTCCCGAAGGGGTGAGACCAGTGGAGTATCTTAGATGGCTGCTCACAGGCTTTTAAGACCCCAGACGCTACTTACCAAGGTAGAATGTAGAACATTGTCTTTATAAACTACGTTATGCCAATTGAGCTAGGTGTTCCCCGAGCCCATGGTCCCCAAGCCCTCAGCCCAGCAATTCAGCCCCTCGGAGTTTGGATGTGTCTGTGGAGCTTCCGTGACCTTTCCTTGTAGAAGTTGTGCTGGCTTCCCCAGTACAGTGTACCGTCTTACCCTTCACCAAAGATACCACTTTTCTGTTGTGTATTTAGTTTCCCCCTCCACCATTAAATTTTTAATGAGAAAAAAAATGAGACCAAAGCACACAAAAAACGTGCAGAAATGTTGGCATAAATGTTGACCCCAACAGCAGCCAACATAAACCAGCTCTGAGAAGCTGCAGGTGGCAAGGGGACCTGTCCCCTTGAGATCTGAGGCCGAAGGTGAAGGAGCCTCCAGTCTGAATGGCTAAGTCATAAATGATGGCAGCCTGGCCATAGAACCACAGATGAGTCTTTGCCAGGAACCATGAGGAAAGACTGTGGGCCTTACATTGGTCGCCCGATTATAATCACCATCCCCATACATGAGTAGTTTTTCATTTTAAAAGTCTTCATTAAAGACCATTTGGAAAGAGACCTCTGGTCTCTCCCCTTAAAGAGTAAAGATAACTACACTTAGCCTTTTCTTTAGTCTTTTATTCTATTCATAGTGTTTTTGTTGTGTTTTGTTTTCCCCAATCAAAATAAAATTTTATTGTAAAATTAAAGCAATATGGAAAGTATAAAGGACAAAGTTCACATCTCCTGAAATCCTTAGGAAACATCACAGAGCTCTCTCTGTCTTCCTCTCTCTCTCTCTGTCTGCATCTCTATCTCTCTCTCCTCACCTTCATTCTCTGATACTATATATTGATATTTTGAAATGTTTTTTTAAAATTCAACAGTGTGAACACCTTTCCATGTTAATAAATATAAGCATACGCTATTTTTACAGAGTATTCTCTCATATGTAGTATGATTTCTGAAACCATTCTCCTACTGATGGACATTTAGGTTTTTTGTGTCCCACTACTTTGCTTTCATAAACAACATTATAATAAATATTTTTGTACGTCTATCTTTACACATTTGTCTGATTATCTCCTTAGGGAAAAATCATAGAAGTGGATTTGCTTATTAAAATCTTATTTTAAAATGTTTGCATATTGTCAAATTGTCCTCCAGAAAGTTAGGATTGCTCTTTTCCCCATAGCCTCGTCAACACTGGGTATTTTCAATTTTCTAAATGTTTGCCAGTATGAATCAACCAAAAATAATGTCCTATTGTTGTTTGAACTTGTGCACTTTGTTGTTTGTTTTCTACAGACTTGTAATCCTCTTACCTGTACAATTTCTGTATCCTGAATAGGATCATTTTTAAATATTCTAGAATAGAATATTATCCTGTGAATGAACTGAATGAGTCTAATTTCTTTTAACTAATATCTCATTCTAGTATATTTGGGGGTAGATAGGAATTCTTATCTAGAAACTTCAGAAATATAGTTTCTTTTTAGATCTTGTTTACAGGCTCAGAATGAAACCTATATTTCTTTCTCTCCACTCCTGTTCCCTGACATCGCTACTCATGCTGTTTCCCCACGGTAACAGAAAAATACTGAGGCAACATTTTGTCAACTTATCATCAAATTTGAAAGAAATCTGACATTGTATTTGGCTCAGTGGTTAAGATCTCAGCTACTAACCAAAGGTCAGCAGTTCAAATCCACCCGCTACTCCTTGGAAACCGTATGGGGCAGTTCTGCTCTGTCCTATAGGGTCACTATGAGTCGGAATCAACTCGACAGCAACGGGTTTGATTTGCTTTTTGGTTGTTAACATTTAAAAACAAAACAGGAATGTTTTTGGTACAACAATTGACTTCTATGTAGATAGAACCTAGTGAAGTTAACTATGTTGAAGAATTTATCATTTAATAGATTTCTTTGTAACCACAGTAATGAAGTATGATAATATAAGCAAACAGTCGTCAGGGACATGAAGTAGCTCTGTTACATTGTCACACATTCTTACAATGACTTGTTTAAACCCACTTACACAGCTAAAGTAGAAAAAGATCTCAATGAAATAATATTAATAATAGAATTAGAAAAAACATTAATAGAATAATGATTATATTAATAATGATAATACCAACCAA